AATCAACTACATACTTTTTAATTTCCACTGGAGAATGGGCAAAATTCATTGATGACTCCCCCTCAAAAAAAGTCTAATACATTCACTAGAAAATGAATATAATTTAAATCTAGTACAAACTAATTTTATGCTGAGCATCATAGCAGTTATTAACAGAAAGTGCTATTTCAGATTATTAAATCTTTACATATATTACCATCTTACTTAACCCTCAATCCTGTAAGATTGTACCCATTTCACATATGACAGGACTGATATTCAGAAGTTAAATGTGAGCTCACATGGCTAATCAGTACCCGTGCAGAGATCCAGCTCCAAATCAAATTAGAAGTACCTGCAGAATTCAAACATCACAATTTAAAAATGAAATCTGAAGAAGGAAGTAATACTGTTTTATTTCTTTTCAAATAAAAGTGCTTCGTTTAGAAAAGATTCTGTACTTGTATGCATCCAGCTTTCTATGGGCAATAAATCCTCTGCAAAAGGTTGGAATGTCATCGCCTTCCTCTTTTAAAAAAAAACCAAAAACCTAGCCCCCACCCCCATGACTCATGATTCTCATTGTAAGTATGACATTTCTTGCTGATTGATACTGATGACTGAATCAAAAAAACGAGCCAGTAATTTGGTATCAGTTATCTGCACTTCCAGATTGTATCTATAGCAATGATTAGGGAAAATAATGCACTGTCAATGACTTATTAAAAATTTATTTCATGTAATAAATTATAGAATTCATTTTTATTTTTAAACAGTCTACACCAAAAATATTTTTTGAAACACCTTTTTCTTTTGGTAAAACGTACAGGGTAGCAGGCTGACATCACTTCACTTCTAGTAGGTAAAATCCCCTTGCAATTATACAGTCAAACATAGCTTTTCCTCACATGTCTCTAAAAGTTCAAGTTGACACCACTTGATAAAAAGAAGACAGCATAACATAAACATTTCCGGATTTTTGCCTAAGGCCTTAGATCGAACTGAATATTAGGTGGAATATTACAAAGATATAGTCGGCAGCCTTGAACTCATCATCTTACGTGTATACACACACCATATGGCTACAAGGAGCAGGAAAACAAGAAAGGCACAAAAGGACACAGTGGGGAAGTCTCAGACCTGTACATCAAGAATGGCCATAAGAGACATATAATCAACACAATGTGACAGACAAGGAAGTTATTTACAGGAATTTTTTAACTGCTAACAGCATATTCATGGTTTTTATCAAATTATTCAGAGGGTATCAAACTTCTGCAATGACCAAACTTCTGTGTACACACATTGGATTAATTTTTAGTTGCAAAATGAAGTCGGCCTCACGAATGCAAAAACGTAACAAAACCATTGAAGGGCTTGGGAGAAATCAGTAAATGGGAAGAGAAAACTCAAGGGTAATCTGAACGATACTCATCAGAGTTTGCTGTTGTTATTGTCAAATGTTGGCTATTTTCCTCTATGAAAGAACACAAGAATTTGATTCTCGTGACGAGCTAATTCAAGAATAAAGCAATATCACTGGTTAAAAAAATTGCCTTTATTTAATTTAAATTTTACACCTATCATAGGTATATAGTCTAGAAATAAAAACACATCCAAGAGCTTAGGCCTCAATGACAGTGTTTTGGGGTGCTGGGGAGAAGTACCAGAAAAAACTTAATTTATATTTAAATTTACCATTGTGTATATCAAGTGCCTACTGGCTGAACAGAACTGTAGTCAATAATTCACACTCTATAACTTCATTCAACTAATACAAAAAGCTAAATAGAAAGATTTATAGTTGAACACCGAGTTCCTAGGGCTGGTATCACATATCATTCCCTGATAGAGCAAGAATTCATCAACAGAGGACATAGGAGCCAAATTGAGAGCTGGATTTTAAAATACCTTTCCCTGCTGTGCGTATAAGTAACACATTGTGTAGTGACCTAAAGAATATTCTGTGTTACTCAATTTTCTTTTCTGGGAAGACTACCACAGTCCAGTGACTTTAAGAACCAAACTCCAAAAACTCTACCTGAGAGCCTTAATAAGGGCAGCTGGGTCATGATTGGAAAATCTATCAGCCGGTGCCCCTCTGCCACAGTTCAAGGGTAACTAGGCCAATTATGAGGCTTACCCAATGGTACCAATAATTTAAAATAAATAATTGTACGTGTATACTTTTTTACACTTACACGTGAAAATGGGCAAGAGTGACTGAAAATGATGCTCGGCTGGGAGCAAAGGAAACCTACGACACCCCTTCAAAAACTCTCGTGAATTCCAGGACCTCAAGGTCAGATTTAAACCAGCAGGAATAGGGCTGTTATTCCAAAACCTCTGAAAAGAAAGAACTAATAATAAAAACTGCAGCTGATTTTATGCACCAGGAATGAAATGTTACAACACATCTATCATTCACATGTGGGTTCATGTAATTTATCTTCAATTAGAATTATTATCTATTCAGCAGCTGAAGCCCAAGAAGTGCTGATACACTGCAGATGAGAAAACATTTGCTGGTCTCTCGGCTCTGGCCTTCTCCAGCTAAATGATGAGCACACAATACAGATCACTCGTTCTATAAAACAACCTTGGCTCACGTGTCCAGTTAAGCTGTGCTGCCAGCACATACATTTGCAACATCTCTTCATCCCCTCTCGTGGACCCCAGAGGGTCCGCTGGGGCTCTTCAGCTTTATTGGTTCTACAACTCGGTCCCAAATTCACATAAAAAAAGCCTCACACAACCTTTTAATCCAGGATTTACTCCTCTGAAATGTATTATTGGAGCTATAGCTAAAATATTTGAACCCCAAGGATACAATAATTTAAAAGTAACCTTTACAATATTTATAATTGAGTACTTTATCTCCACAGCCTTGACTTCCAAGGTTGTCAAGCTAGTGTCAAAGTACTTTAACTTCCACGTTGATGGGAGTGGCATCCCTCTGAGCTCGTGTTTACCACAGTTTACACTCTACCAAATCAACAGGGAAAAAGACAACCCGGAAACAAAGGCAGCATTCTCGACTGCAGTGTTCTCAAAAGCATGTTCAGTGGGATGTCAGTAGGCGTCTAACTGAAAATAGGGGTTTCATCTTTGGATAAGGACACACTCAAGCTGGTTTCCAACCAGTTCTTAGAGCCTTTCATGTGCCGATAGGCAGGTTTGCAAGGGCCCCAGATTATCTGCCTCTGAACATTTATCCCCGTGAGCACCTCCTAGGAACATGGCTCCACAGGGCAGGTCTTGAGAAACATGGCTTTGGCATTTTGGTGTTCGGAGACTTCACTAATCCCTCGGGCTTTGAGACCATAGTCTAGTTCTTAAAAATAAACAACACAAATAACTGTGATAGCCGGCAAGTCTGGAATAGCAGACTCAGAAATTGAGCGTGTGGGCAGGGAGGGGAGAACACACCTGTTTATCCTACAACATTTTCATCTTCCCAGCAAAAATACGTCCCCAGATTCCCAGGTTAACCACTCCTGATAATGGCTGTGCACAACACCTGAACGAAATAAACAACATACAAAGGCCGCTTAAAGCAAAAACAGTGGAATAAAGTTTCACTTGCCCAAATGGGGAAATGAACAAGTGCCATATAATCTCACGTTTACAACCGGTAACCCTGGTTATTGCTTACGAGTCTGACACTGTACAGGTGCCTGGGTGGCTCAGTCAGCTAAGCATCTGGCTCTTGACCTCAGCTCAGGTCACGATCTCACAGTTTGTGGCTTCAAGCCCCTGTTGGGCTTTGCACTGACAGCTTGGAGCCTACTTGGGATTCTCTCTCTCTCCCTCTCTCTCTCTGCCCGTCCTACACTCATGCTTTCTCTCTCTCTCTCAAAATAAATAAATACGCTTTAAAAAAAGAGTCTAACACTGTATAATTTGATAACATTTATAGAGCTTTCTTCTTTGAAGCACTACTGAATAATTAAAGTTGCTATGGCAAACTTCTTTACTTGAGGAGTTCGTTTACTTTAGAGTAGGATTTCTTGACCTCAGTACCACTGAGATTCGGGGCTGGATAATTCTCTGTCTGGAGACGCTGTCTTGTCCATTGTATGGTGTTGATGATACACCCCTGGCCTGAACCCCTGGATGTCGACTGCACTCCACAAGTTGTGACAACCAAAAATGTCCCCAGATGTTGCTTAGATATAAGCAAATCATCCCCAGTGGAGAGACATTGCTACCGAGTGCAAACTAAAGCTTGACTCTGCTTCCCTGGGCAATGTCCATTTTGCAGGCATACTGTGACTTAGACACATCAACGTCTTGTAAATAGTAGCATCAAATCTTTCTACCTTCTCTGTGACCAGAAACATAAGTAATCTGTGTGTGAATGGTAGAGAATGGTTAGAAGGAAGCAGTCTACACATTTCGAAAGCAATCAAGAAGTAATTTTACTGTCCTGTAAGAATCATCGGAATCATAATGCGTAACTGACAAATAGGATAACAATTAGGAAAATGTTAATTGTGTATTATCTGTTAAGGATCATAATGACTGAGGCGGTCTAAGAGTAAAAAACCTAACAGTCATCAGCGACTAGCTCCGATCACATTCTAGTTCTCCACCAAACATTCTCCACGAAATTCTCAATTCAAAAACCTAAGGTCTTGTCTTTAAACCGCTTATTTGTACTGCAGCCTCGTCACTTCTTTCAAATTATCAAAGAGAAACCTTTCACATGTCATGAAGAATTCTGGTATGTGTCAAGAAGCACATTATCTAGTTTTAAAGCCATTTCTTCAATATCCACATTTTCAGTTCTGTCATAATTGTCAACTCCAGACACATGACTCTCTTTATTTTGTTCTTTCCTTACTGCCTTTAAACACTTGTCAAGTCTCTTTATGAACAAGTCCACATCCTGCGTCTTCATTCCAATGGCTGCGGCAGCATTTAGGTAAGCACAAGGGTAATTATTTGTATGTGACATAAAGCCTTGGAAAGTGTAGCCACTCACGGTTTGCACAGACCCAAGAGGCACAACCCTGAAAGAGAAAAGATTTAGCAATTTAATGTCTGGTGATGCTAACAGAATATCACTCATAAACAAAAGATATCTGTGTTACTAAGCCTTGTATCTACTTATTGAGAAGTTTAAAAACAGTCATAAACCATGACCTGATTTATAAATCATGAAAATACACTGTGGCAGCCTTAAAATAAAATTATGCAATACGTTGCTATTTTACATAGAAAAGTACTGCCTGGAGAGTACTGCTCACTTATCTTCTATTAAAGAGCCATAACCTCTAGGAATTGCAAATACCTTTGTACCTTCTTCAAAGAGAAAAAAGAAAATGATTTCTGTTTTGGTACCAACTATGGAATCTGACTTCACATATACCTACCTTAATGAAATACTGAAATTTGTAAGTCAAACCACTTTGGTTAATTGTGTATTGCCTCAAAAAATCAACAAACTAAAATCACACCCATCTGATCTGTGCTGTGCAATGGAGAGCTGTAAAGCAAAGATCCAGAAAAAACTATGCACCCGCTCACAGTGGATGGTGGTCAGCAATCAGTATATTCCGCAATGGCATGTGCATTTCCTAAGCTAGATTTCATTAGCAAACTTGATATAAGCAGATTTCTACCAGTATTTCTTTCAAAAAAATAAGTCAATTAAGGTCAATCTAAACAAAAAGACAAATACTGGCGACACTTAAAGCAAGGCTAAGAAAACCACTTTAGAAGTGTCAGAACTATGCTGTGTATAGACAGAGTTCATCAAGGTAAAAGCTGAATTAATCTAAGATTTTTTTCTTTTAAAAAGTTGTCCTTTGATGTGAAATCTCTAATCTCTGGTAGTCAAGAGAGAAATGCTTTCATAGAAGCATGTAAAGAAGAGTACTTAGGGCAAGATATTTCTTTTCAAGTCATTTTTCTCTGACCTCATCAAATATAAAATGAAAAATGAAATTCATTTTTAAGCCGTGTATCTATAAGAGAAAAAAGTACACTTTTCAAAGGTAGCACTTAGACAAGAATTGCATAACCTTTTTAGTTCAGGAAATGGGCTTCTCCTTAAAAATGTTTTCATCTAAATTTAGTAATGAAGATGACTTATTTCTAATACCCTGACGTGACACCACTGAAGATTATCTAACAAAGGAAAATAAAGATAAAAATGTATAGAGACAGGCGATGTAACTGTTTCTGTAGCTCTACGAAACAGACAAGATCCCGATCTCCCTGAGGCTGTTTCCGGCGTGCGCCTTCCACAGGCGAGCTTTCATAGCACCACACGTTTTCCATCTCTTCATTCTTTCACTCATGACGAATCCTCAGATGCAGCTCAGCATATACATGGGGGACTATTGTTAAGGAAAGGTACTTTATTACAGGGAGCTTGGAAAAGCCAAATAAATCCAGGCCTCTTTCAGACACACTCACCTGGCTCCAGACACCTGTCTGGTAAACAGCATTGAGCCAAGCTGAGTGACAGCTTTGTCTTCGTCTTCACCTAGTGTCTTAAGTGTCATGGCTGAAAGAGGATAAAGGATCCCAATGTACTTTGGTTCACCAGCACAAAATCACTCAGAAAAAAAGTACTTAATGAGGGAGACCTGACTTAGGTGTGTGTGCGTGTGTGTGTTAAAGGACACATAACACAAAATGCTAACATCCTAACCATTTTTGAGTGTTCAGCTCCGCGGTGTTAAACACACCCACACTGTTGTGCGACCATCCCCACCACCCATCCTCGTCACTCCTTCCATCTTGTGAGACTGGCACACTGTACCTCCATTCTCCCCTCCCCTCCAGACCCCCAGCAACCACCATTCCATTTTCTGTCTCTAGGACTCTGACTACTCTAAGTACCTCATACAAAAGGAATCCTACATTCTTTGTCTTTTTGTAACTGGCATGGAGATATTCATTGTCAAGGGGCATGATTTCACTTCAATGCACTTAATAAATCTTAATAAATGCAGACAAAAATTTGTTAATATAAACGAACATACTCAGAATCAGAACAGAATTTCCGGATCACCCTTCTGAAGAGTGAACATTCCAATTAAATAGATGGAACGATGACATGATCAATATGGCAGTTTATTCAAATTCAACCATGTTTTAAGAACTTGTAAAATGGGAATGTGGGATATTTTCAGCACATACATAAGGTTATGTAAGATCAACTTCTGCATATATAAATGAGAATAATCTTTCTGAGGTTACATGAGTAAACTATGTTCTCACCACCACTACTAGCTACCATTTCCTGAGGACTTGACTTCCCACACTAGATACTTTACGATCTCAACCATTCTTTACCAATTTTGCATGTGAGGGATCACTGTCTCTATTTTACATACATAGGGGAAAGGAGGTGACAGGTTAGTACATAGCAGAGTTGTGATTCAAAATCATACCATACCATCTTCTGTAATATAAACCAGCAAAGGACTAAATGGGATGGGTTTTATTATATATTGGTGGCATATATAATTTGTTATATATTAATATATATATTTAATATATTTTTAAATATTTAATATATATTATATATGTTCCATGGAAGCCAATTCCTGCAAAAGGCTTCAGTTACAAATGATTGTTTCCTAACTTTCCTCAGATATGCATGAAATATGAAACGTTCCACTATATATATATTTGCAAAAGGGAGAATTATGAAGCTTAAAAGCTAAATGCATAAAAGTCAACGTTCATATTAACCTGTTAGTAGCCTCTGTACTACATAACAAAAATATATAGTCCTTTTACAAAGGAAATTATCATAAATATGGAGTTCTCTAACATAAAGACAATCAGGAAAACAATCACAGCATTAAAAACAATATAGATTTAATTTTTAATATTATGGTGTTTTGTTAAATGGTGAAAATTTTTATAGAGTTCTTACTAGTGACTAAATTATTTTGGTTAGAAGCAGGAGTCAAAGTATCTTTTTCTGTATATTCTAATATTGATTTGGATTCTTTCCAGTGTATGGTTTTTCATCTCAGGAATACATTAAAGCATTTCTAAAGGCTAACTAAACCTTTTCAATTTACAAATTAATAATGTAATGAATTTAGAAATATCATTGTAACCAGAAAGAATTCATACTCTTTCTAGAAATACCAAGTCCCTGCTGGGGATGGTTATGAAGCACTGATTTTTTTTTTTTCTTAAGAAAAATGTATTACCTAAAGATATGGGATTGTGAGGTGTATGCAACAGTCTTTCATTGTAGGTTTCTGACAGCTTCTTTAGTTGGCTGGACAAATATGAAAACATTTCCTGCAACAACAAAATGTTACATTTATTTTTTTTTTTTTTAAAGATTTTTAAGCAATCTCCACACCCAACATGGGGCTCAAACTCACAACCTCAAGACAAGAGTTGCACATTCTATTGACTGAGCCAGCCAGGTGTCCCCAAAATGTTACATTTAAAGAAAATCAAATGAATGCTTACTGAAACTTGCCAGATTTAATAAAACAAAATCTGTTTGGTGTGGTATCTGTGCTGTAAATTAACTCATTTCTGTGCCCTGGGAGCCAATTCTTTCCTTTGATACAATATAGTGAGATTCAAAGCCGCCACAATTATCAGAAACCACAGGATTTAGGTGAAGAAGGCAAAGGACCGGCATATTTCCTGCTTTGGGGATATTATGGAGCTATCACAAATCCGTCCTCTCTTCCGAACCTCCAGGGCTACCACTCTGGTCCAAGCTGCCATCACCCTCTCCCCTGGACCACAGCAGTAGATTCCAAATGATTTCTCTGTCGACTTTCCTGCCCCTCTACAATCTGTTCTACATGCAGAGGCCAGAGCAGTCTGAAAAGCATAAATCAGATCATGTCCTTCTCAATGATTCCCGTCTGTAAGTACTGAAAACCCAAACTCTTCACCTATTAAGGCCCCAAATGATCTAGCCCAGCCAATGTGCCCAACTCAGCAACTGTCATTCCCCCATTTAGTATAGCGACAGCCACATCAGCCTTCTTTGCAACCACCAAACACAGCAAGCTCATTCTGGTATAAGAACCTTTGCGCCTGCTTGCTCTAGACACAAGACAGTGCTTCTCCCAGAACGTTCGATAAGCCCTCCCTTTATTAATTGCCTATTAAAGTCCTCCCGGTCTCCCTCCTACAACCACTACCTATTTTGGTTTCTTCACTATACTTATCACAATCTGAAATTACCTTATTTATTAGCTTAAATGAATACTTCCTGTGAGTACCTACTCGAACGGGAAAACTTGAAAGCAGGGACTTTGTGTTCTTCACTACTGTTTTCCAAACACCAAGAAAAACGTGCCGTACTTTTAGTATGTACGTAACATAGGAAAAAGTAGTTTAAAATGTATTTCCTTCAAATTGCACAAACTCAATATTAACAACTCCCTCAACTCAAAAGAACATACCAACTCAAAACAAAAAAAAATTGTGTTCTTGGTCCTACTCTGGAAAATAATGTACACCTAAGAGTAGAAAATAAAATAAAAATATTTTGTAAGTATAGTTCCATGTGCACATGTATGTAAGCAGTTTAATAAAGTCTAATAAAATAAATAAATCTTAAATTGGCAACTGTTTGACCTAAAATTATACTTTCTTCTAGTAAGCCCTTTATAAAGTGTTGAAATAAAAATCTGACCAAATAAGTCTTTCCTGAAGAAGCCCATTTGCCCTGACCTCCTCCAGTCACAGTCAAAACACATAAACTCTACGGATACACTAAAGGGCCAAGGGCCAACAAAGTACCAGGTGTAGACAGCAGGAAATGATACTTCTCCTACTTCGAAGGCTGCAAAAAGTGCTTCAGTTTTCTCTAAGGTAAGGGTTGGATAGTCTGATTCTACTCAATCCATCTTCTGTTAAGATTAAGAAGAAGAAAAGTCCTACCAAGTTTGTTAATTATTAATGAGTCTACTTAAGACCACAAACATTTTTTTTACACAGTATATTTTGTGCTCTGACCTGAAAAAAAATTTTAAACTAGTAGTCATTCTTAAATTTTTAGGCTATTATATAAGATCAATTGTCCCAGCATGTCAGAATTGTGAAATCTTAGATCACTAAAATAAACTGACTTTTTTATATTAGAAAACTTAACATCCATATTGGTCATATCTAATGAAGTTATGAGGAAATGTTACTGTTAGATGTAATAAACCTTTCTCTTTCATTAAAAAATAGAGTAGGGACGCCTGGGTGGCTCAGTCGGTTAAGCGTCCAACTTCAGCTCAGGTCATGATCTAGCAGTTCATGAGTTTGGGCCCCACGTCAGGCTCTGTGCTGACAGCTCAGAGCCTGGAGCCTGCTTTGGATTCTGTGTCTTCCTCTCTCTTTGTCCCTCACCCACTTGTGCTCTCTCTCTGTCTCTCTCTCTCTGTCTCTCAAAAATAAACAACAAAAAAAAATAATGTAGAGAAGTAATTAAGGAGGCAAATGTCATCACCACTTGCAAACTGTAAAGAGCTGTTTAGGCAACTTTTCTTAGATATATAAAGATTTCTTGGCCCCTCCTTCTTAAATTACTATTCTGATATTCATTTCAGAAGGTGAAACAGTAAGAGAATCAAATGGAATCCAAAGATCAAGAGTTTTTCTGACAACTGGAACAATTCCTAATCTTTTAGTACTATACCAGTATTAATGAACAGTAGAATTTCTGGATTTCATTTATATATTTTCATCTACTATAAAGTAACTAGGTCACTAATCCAAATGCTCTGTATTGCTTAAAAAAGAAAAAAGCAGTCACATTTTAATTTAGATGTTAACTGCTGATTTTTCATCATCTATATTATACACCGAAGTCTTAATTTGCAACTGGCTGTCTAACTCTCTTAGTCTCAAATTCAACTTCTCATAAGCAGAAACAAATCTGATAGCTAGGAAATGCCTTTTATTAGCCTCCTACATTTTCCACCCTAAGAGTAACAGCAAAATACTTACTTCAGTGGTGAGGACAAATGTAAAATATTATTCTATCCAGTATGGCTACCACAAGAATCACCAATGTGAACACACTCGTAAACTAAGAAGCCTGATGAGTAATTAATATGTATTTATTTGTACTTAGCTACTTCCAAAAAAAGAGGAAATGTTTCCCTAGTAACACCCCTAGAGGGTGCTTTTAAACTTACTGATGCATACATGGCTATTAAAAAACTGAGATTCTCCTAATACTCAATTTCTAATACTTTAACAAATCATTTTTAACCAGTTCTACTGATTGCTAATATCACTAGAAATCAGTTTTACCTAAAACTTTAGACTACAAACATAATGCTAAGGTACATCTTTAGACTACAAACATAATGCTAAGGTAACTAAATCTTACATATAACGAGTATGGGAGTAATTACACAAAAAAAGAAAACATCTGTGAGTCAAGTTCACATCCATCTGCAAATATTTTGTGTAAAGGGTTATGATAGGTAAGCCAATAAGCAAAGAAGCTTAAATATCTTAACGTGCAATATACTGAGTCCTACAATATCTGACAGGTTAAGGCCCTCAATGTTCTCCCATTAATATCACTACATTTAAAAAATATCATTTGGAAGACTGTACCACTATTTCCTACACTACTACTTAGCTAAGCAGTTTTTTCCTGATATATTAAAGGTACTACAAAACCTGCACTATTTTTTTGCCACAGTTAAATCTATAACTGACATTTATTATAAAATACTTCTGTAAAGGGAGAAATTTATAAGTACCCAAAGCAAATGTATATAGAAAGATCTTACTTAAAAGAAATGAAATATTATTGATTTTCTATGTCTTTTGTGCTGTATTTAACTTAATTTTAAAAGACTCTTCACTAGAGATAAACTGAACTGCATACCTGAATGCTAATGTCAGCTATATTTCTAGAATAAAAATACAAAACTTTACACCATAGTTCAAGATGTTAATGGAAGGGAAGCTGAATTATATTAAGCATTATCTTTCACATGGCCTTTTGTAAATTGATTTGCAGCTGTAACGCCCAACGTTTAGCCTATCCCTCCCCATAACCCCCAAATGTGCTTAATTCACTAAATTTTAAGGGAAAATGTCTTATGTAATGTTTTCAAAACATACCGTTTCTTGTTACAAGGTAAGATGAAAACAGAGCTTCAGAAATTATTATAATATGTCTTACAAAGTAGGTAATAGAGCGAAAGGGAAACGTAACAAGTGGTCTAACACATCCATGGTACCCTGAAAGGATAGGCGACAACAGACCGCACGTACAGACCCATGCACACGGAGGTCCCCGTGTGCACATGCCAGCACGGAATGCAACATGCTGCTCTGGCCGTGGCCAGCGGCAAGGACCCGGGTGCCCTCAGCAGGCCCTACATCTCAGGCTAACGCCCTGCTTTCAAACTCCTCTGTGGAGGCTCCATAACCAGGCCTGAGATCTGACGCTCTGGTACTCCACTACAGATCTGGTACGCTCTGGTACTCAACTACTCCACTTCTAGGGCTGCAAATCTACTCAGGTTTCCAAACTTAGCTCTGTTAGAGAACAGCATCTGAAGCTGTAGGTCTGATGTTCTTTCAGAACTTAGCTGGTCTTCCAAGCCCAGCTAGCAAGCGCTGGCCACTGGAGCGGCCCTTCCGCTGTCACTCCTCATCCACCCGTGGCCCACTCAGCAGATACTTGCAACGACGAATGATTATGCACGTGCCCTGTTCAGCAAAGCACTCTTCTAGAAGGAAAGCTAAGCAGAATGCTGGCCTTCTCTGGAAGCAAAGAGAAGTCAGGAGAAACTTCTAAGACTGATCCTTCTTTTTGCAGAGAGAAACCCATAGAAATGGTGCCTTAAATTTTAACCCCTTTCTCAAAGGGTTCTTCAGTTAAATTCATGGCCATCTCTCCCCTCAGTGAAGCAGAATGTTGATCAGGAAGGGGCTAAGGGCACAGGTTCAATTCACACGCCGCCGAGTGCCACTCTCTCTGATCCTTTCACACTTCAAAAAAGAAGGCTTGACAAGGAATGGCTTCAAGCTGAGTTCTTGTCTGCCTCTACTGTGAAAAGATAAAGCGCTTTCTGAAGAGATATACTAGATGAAATAACCTCTAAAAATATCATTGTGGTGAATAAGGGCACAGAATGAAAAAAAAAATCCTAAGTTTTCTTTTAACACTCCTTTTTTAGTACGCAATAACACCGATAATATAAAAAGGAGCTCTCAGTGATGGTATATAAATAGCTCCGGCTGAAGCAAAATAACTTTGCCTCAGCTTCTCCAGAGCCGAACTGATAAACTATCACGATTAAATTTTC